CTTTGCATCCCAACGTTATTCCTGTTAGACAGCTGAAGCTGCGTGCTCACCTCGATGCCTTTTAAAAATCTGGAGAGATTTATGCTTTCTGCTGACTCTACAAAAGGTGGTTTCAAGATATGATAAACTCTCTACAGAAGGGTTGGGGACAGAGACTTTCAAACCTCTCGAAAAATCCTGGTTGGCCACATGTTTTCCTGCTTAGGGGAAAACTTATTTCATCGGTGATGAGCTTGGTAGGATTATTGAATTTTTGAGTTTTCTGCCCTATTATAGGTTGACTAAAAACCCCGAGGGACAAAAGCGTCTCAGTCCAGCTGCTCCAGGGGCACAACTGCAAGGAGCAGGCAAAGCCTGTCTTAGGATTTGTGACCCGGAGCATGCTTTAGCCCTGCGTGGTGAAACCACAGAGTATTCCTGTTGAAACCTTCAACTTGCTGCTTTTAACGTCCCTTATATGTTTCCTGAAATTGGAAACGATACGTCCTGGGAAAAGCATTTAATCTTCCTTACTTTGCTGGCTGTGCTCGTTGCTCCGCTGGCTGTGTCTGGGCATCGGGCTGCAGCTAAACGAAATACCTTCAGCTGATACAGGGGACAAACAGTTTGCTAATAGGTGGGCATGGAACAGAGGGACTTGCTAGAAATGGAATTAAGTGCTTGTAGAAGCAGGAAGGAAAAAAAAAAAAAGCTTTCCGTATTTCTGGCTCTTTGAGGAATTCTCAGGATTAAATTCTTCATTCAGCGACTTTCCCTTAAATATAAAAGGAAATCCCGTGTCTTAAGAACACTGCGTTTCTTCCAGCACAGAATTCCCCTTTGGAGGGGCTGCTGGGATGGGTGCCGTGCCGGAGCGGGCTGCCCCTCGGGCTGCCCCTTGCAGAAGCACCCACTGGGTGCAAGAGCCACCAGCTCCTGAGCAGCTCAGCTGAGCCCCTTTTCTCCTTTTTTCTTTCTTTTTTTTTTTTTTTTTTTTTTTTAGAACAATTTACCTGTCGTTGGTGTGGTCAGGATGGTTTTTATTTCATGCTTTATTTTCTACGGGTCTTGAGAGATTTTGTTTGGTTTTCAGTGTAATAGTATGTTTTTACAATAATAAAAGTGGCGTCTCATATTAGTAGAGTCTCATTCTAAGCACCAGCCTTAACTCCCAGCATACCTACGTGAGCAGAAACTTTTTGTGTGGCCGGTGCAGAGGCGGGCGGGCGTGCTCAGCGTGAGCCCGAGGCTGCAGGGTCACTGCCCGCTAACGCTCCCTTATCCAAGAGCTGTTGCAGGTTTTCATTAAGGAAATGGAAGACCTGTTCCTGTTTCCAGCAAAGATTCAGACCTGATATATCAGTCCTGTTTGGGGTAGAACAGCCTCTTTCTTTTCCAGATTTCCTCATCCGTGTATCGTTAACTCTTTTCCCTTATGAGATTTGCAGACACATTTCTAACCATGTTTCAGCTGATTAGTGGTATGGGCTGTTTGCCTCAGGAAATCATTCCTTTTGTGCTCTCGGTGCTGCGTTGTGGGGTAGGGACAAGAGCAAGGCATCCAAAAACAAGTTAAATCTCTCCTTTCCCCTCTCTTAATAAATGGTGGCACCTGAGGATGTGCTTGAGACTCTGCAGGGAGCTACAGCTCCGTGTAAGTAAAATTGACGGTATCTGGCTGTTGGTGCCGGAGGGTCAGTGGGAGGAGATGCAGTAGCATCCTCTGGTGGGAAGGGGCAGCCTGGGGGGCTCCAGCAAGGTGGGGACCAGAGGTTGGTCTTGGCCGGGCACGGGCCGGAGGCGCTCGCTGCACGTCGTGCTGCATCGGTACCGCAGCCACACACAAAACCACCCCAAAACCCACCAGCTCCCTGGGACTGGGACTTCAAACAGCTCCTTTCCCGCTCTGCCTCGCGTTTATCGGGTGTGGGACGGCGTTGTGAATGCTGTTTGTCAGCAGTGGGGCTCCGGGAGCTCCAAATGCTGCATGTCAGGAGGTTGGTTACGGTTCATAATTGATGGCCCTTGAAGGCGAGCGTGAGAAAACATATTGTGAGTTTCTGTTTCGTGGGCTGAAAGAGTTCTCCTCGGTGAAACTTCACAGGCCAGCTCTTAGGAAGGGTTTGTAAACCCTCTTCATTTAAGAGGGGCCATAAAAAGCAGGAAGAAAAGCCAGCAGAGAAGAAAAAAAAAGCAAATGAGATCCCAAAGGGGGGGGGGGAATTTTTTCCAATCTTGAATTTGAGAACTGGAAAGAAATCCATCTGGTTCTAGGTTTCCGAGAACGAGCGCATGGGTGTTTTGCACAATGTGAAGCCTTGCAGAGGTCTCACAGCCTTTGAGGTGAGAAAAAGGAGACCGAGCTCTGTCTCGGGAGCAGCTGTTTGTTCCCAAAAGAGGCAAATTGTGTGGCAGGGAAATGGAGAGCAATGAGGAGGGCAAAGACTGGTGTGATCTCAGAGGGACAAACACTTTCCGTGGGCTTCCCGCGAAGCCGTTAGCTGTCCCTGACACAAAGCTCAGCCTACCAAAGCCTGCAAAGATCTTGGTAAAAAAGGCTGAGGGACATCCATTGCTTTATCTCCGTGGTCTGGGAGGTGTTAGGGCAGCGGGAGCGCTCCGGTGTCCTCAGGAGGAGCCTGTTGATCCCTATGGATGCTGCTGGGTCACGTGTGGCTTTATAACACGGCTGAGCTGCCACCACCACGAGCATCCTCCTCCTGCAGGGGCAAATGGGTGGCAACCAGTGACACGGAGCAGCTCGGCAGCACAGGGCGGGCTCTGAAACGCCCCGTTTCCATCGCCGGCCCTTCATGCCTTTTGGACAGTGCCCAAGCACTAAGTTTTAGCTTTATAGCAACATTTGCTCTCGACATACAAATTGCTGAGCTTAACAGGGATGAACGGGCAACGCTTTACAAGCTACCTCGGATTAAAGCAAGTCCATGGAGATGATGCTCCCGGCCCTTCGATGGAGGAGGTTTTCGTTCCAGAAAACGGCCAGCGCCGTGCTCCCCGGCGGAGGGTCTGGGTGTCCCTGGGGGGAGGAGGAGCCCGTGGGGCCAGAGGAGAGCCGAGGATCCTGCCCTCTCCTCGGCAGAGCTCCAGCCGCCGCTTCCCTCGGAGCGAGTGTGCATCTGGGCCCCGGTGCACAGATAATTATCCATAATGGCTTTTTAAAAGCATAACTCTGTAGCTTGCAATGCCCTGCCAGCCACCATGGGCTGCTGCTTTTTTTCCCCGAAATGTTTATGATCCTTCTTTTCCCCTCTGTGTCACAGTTGGAAGTGTTTTCTTTATTTCCCTTGAAATAATAATGTAAATCTGGGAATTGGAAATCCATAGCCTGGTTGTACTTTTTTTTTTTTTTTTTTTTTTTTTTTTTTTTTTTTTTAAGAGTATAAATTGAGGGAACAGTTAAAATTATATTATTCCTGGCAGCAAAATTCCTTTTTTAATAGATAATTTGGAGTTATTACGTTGGAAGCAGCTTTCCCCACGTGTGTGCGCATGCACAGTGTGGAAGGAGCAGAGCCGAGAGGGCTCAGGGCGGCTGCCGAGGCTTTGGAGGCGGTGGAAGCGCCGGGAGCCTGCTGGAGTCTGCAGTTTTTCAGCTGGTGGCAGAAAAAAAAAAACCAAAAACAACTCCAAGGCACCATTTTGCAGTTCTTAATTAAGCCCGGTTTTTCTCAATGGGAGTTTTGCCTTAGGAAAAACTGAAGTATTGGACTTTTTCTACCAGGATCTGTTTTATATTTCTCTTAGCTGCTCGTTTTTACAAGGCTTGGGAGCACCAGTATTTTCTGCTATGCACCAGTGATAGACATTTGTTTCCAATTAGTATTTATTGGATTATTTTAGTCAGAAGTAAGCTTTGTATTAGAGCCCTGCAATATGTACTTTGTTATTTGTTCACAGGACGGTGTTTTCTTTTTCTGCTTGGTTTTGCATCAGCTCCAGTCTACTGAAAACCTGGTGCAAGGCAGCATCGCTGGGGATCTGCCCTGAAACAAATTAAACCTAATTAAACAGATTACAGCCTCTTATACCAGCATCTATTCCCTCCATCAGTGCGGGCGTGTTTCTGGGAACAGCAGCAGCCCGGGTGTCCTCAGGCTGTGTCCAGCTTTCTGCTGCTTTTCCCCATAGCTGGAATTGGTCCCTCTCTGGGGCTGGTTGTCCCCTAGGCTGAGCTTTAGCGGGTAAAGCCTGGCTCAGGTGGCTCGTGGCAAGATTAGCAACAGGTACTGTTGGATTTATGGGTGTGCGCGGGGCTGGCTAACAAAGCTTTGGAAAAACACACAGGCAATGTTTTATGTAGGTAAAATAATACGGAAAACTTGTGTTTTAATGGCATCTGAGTTCCTGACTTGAGGTCATATGACAAAAGAATTTCCGTAGTTTGCCTTGGGAATTGAATGAAAATACGAAGACTAAGCTAAACCCTTGACCCACGCGTTTCTTACGCTGTAAATGATCTTATTTTGGGAGAAAACCTCCCGAAACAAACACGGATGTTTGGGGGACAAGGGTAGCTGCAAGTAAGTGAAAATAGCAGGATTGGCCCCGTGGGTTCAGGTCTTGCCCAGCCCATGCCGGGTAGCTGCACAGCTTGGGTTTTATCCTGTTTTGCTAAGGTAAATCAGGAGTGATTGCCCCGAAGTCAGGAGAGTGATAAGTGCTCTTGGAGTGATGTAACGTGAAATGAGAAGCAGACTTTCTGTTGCGGAAATAACAAATATGCTTTTACAGGAGAGTAAGTGCAGAATACTTGGCAGTGGCTCACCGTGGAGAAACAGGCAAGTTCATTTGGTCGGAGACCAAGGAAAGCTGCATAGATTCAGCAAGATTTAACTGCAGGTCAAGCCTGAGTTTTTCTTTTCCTGCTGCATATCTCCGTTTTCCACAGCACGTATAAAATATTATTACTGCAAACCGCACGTCCCAACGCAGCCTCTCTGTGTGTATCACGCTAAGAACAATAAATCTCATCTTTTTCTGCTTTTTTTCTTCTCTTCCAGGACAACGGGCCTGCCCAAAGCAGGAGGCCGATGACCCCCGGGACTGGTGGCAGCCCCATGGAGAACAAGCAGATGCTGAACGTGCAGCATCACCACCCAACCCGGCTCTACGCCAACAGTGGCTCCGAGTCGGCTCTGCCGGGCCAGCTGAGCGGGCTCCACATCACTCCTGCCCAGAGGTAGGGGGAGAGCACAGCCTACGCAAACTCGGTTTCAGGGGTGTGTGTTGAGGCTGTGGTGCTCCCGGAGATGCTGGGTTCAGCTCCTGATCTGTTAGCTGAGTCTAGGTGGGAGACAAAAAAAAAAAAACCCAAACCAACAGAACCAAAATAAAAGGGGGTTTGGAGGTGCAAAGTTCTGAACAAAATGGCCACGTGTGTGTACGTAGCAACTGCTACACTGAATTTAAGCTTGTGATGCTGAAGCGACGTTCAACTGTTTACCTCGGAGATGGGTAAAGGCGCTGGTTTTCCAGATCTCCATAAGATCCTTCTATTGCTGGTGGGGTGAGCGGCATCAGATCCAGTTCCCCCGGCTGGGATTAATACCAGGGCGTCTCACAGGGGTTAGCATCATGGTTTTTCAAAGTATATTTTTCAAGGCAGGGTGGAAGGGGTTTATCCTCCTAGGAGTGGGGATCACACTTCTACACACCCCAGAGCAAACGCTTGGCCTGGGAGCTGGAGGTATCCGCAGAGAAAATTAACCCCTGTAAACTTGGGATGTTTATAAGTGTAAGATCTGCTCGGTGCAGCTGTCCAGGAGGCTGGGAAATAAATAACGCTTGTAGGAAAGAAAAAGCTTTTGTGTAGCCAAGAGCAGTTTGGGTGGATAACTCGGACTTTGAGACAGGCCAGCCTGTGGGCTGTGACGCTTTCACATGGCTCATGCTGCTGCTGATTTATGCTCCTCCAGACTGGCAAAATATTCTGCAAGAAAGTAATGTCTGTATCAAATACAAAGAGCAAAGAGAGTTTGAGCTCGGGAACTCTGTGCCTGCATGAATTCATAGTTCAGTGACGCCGTGAGCTGTGAGCCAGCTTATTCCCCGTGCTGCTCCAGCAACGTTAATGAAGTTGGAAAGAAGAGAACTGCACAAAAAAAAAAAATACAGAGAACAAAATCTGATGTTATCAGTGGGTGAGCCAAAAACCAGGAGATTAGGTTGGGTGTTCGAGTAGAATTGCGTCACAAGTGCGTTCTCTCTGAATTTGGGTTTGATCGGGCTGGACTGGCCAAAACCTGCCCTTTGTCACGGAAAATGTGTGAGTTGGTGCAGAAGAGGGCTGTAGCAGGGCAGGTGGGCACACGGGGAGGGTTCGGGCTGGCTGGGAGTCACAGGACCGGTCCTGTCCCGTGGCAGCAGCACCCCTGCCCCTCGACTCGAGAGGTCTGTCACTCCTGCAAAACAGAGCTGTGGTTTTTCTTTGAAAGTTAATTTTGTCTGGTGCTTTTTTTCCCCCTTTGTTTGTTTGAAAGCGAGTTTTATTTCTTTTTGTTGTTGTGGGTTTGGTTTGTTGTATTTTTAAGTGGGCAGGAATATAATGTTGGTGGAGAAAATGAGTCAGATGACGACTGAAATATGTTGAGCTGTCTGATGGGGTTCAGGGCTTCTTGCTGTTTTATTGGTTTTATAATGACCTTGATGACCTTCTCCTTAAAAAGGAAATGGAGCCCCTTCCCCGAAGCCGGGCTGTGCTTTGGGGCCTCAGCAAAGCACAGCAGCACTTGAATTTGTCTCTGCTCAGCAGGAGACTTAAACACGTGCCCAAAATATTTTTGATCCCGAACAACGCTTTTCACATTTTGATGTCTCAAATGAACTGGAATTAATGGTTTAAGTTAATATTCGCTGCCTGGTGCACCCCAATCACACCGCATGTGCTCAAGGAGCAGCTTTGGGTCTGGGGGCTGAAGGTTGGTGTGTGGTTTTGGGGGGGTATGGGGCTGCTCCCCTGTCCCGGCCCCAGTGCTGAGCAGCCCCTGGGGGTGGTTTTCTCGCTTCAGCTGTGGGCTGTGTCTGTCAGATGGATCTTTTAATGCTCTCACTTACAGAAACACTAACTCAGAGGAGGCGCTTGGGGATGGTGGGGGGATTTGCCATCATGCCTGTGCCTGGCAGCAGCACACCCTCTCCCCAGCGGTACCAGGGGTGGGTGCCTCCCCTGGCCCTACATAATTAATTCACCACTTTTTTTTTCGATAAATTCCGTGTGTGGCAGAGCAATTTACAGTGCTTGTAAGCAGCTGCCCTCTTTCCTCAAGGCAAATGGTAACTGGGCCAACCCTGGCTGCGTTGCTCAATCGGAGCAAGTTTAACTTCCCGGGTCCGGTGGCTGTTCGGGGCCAGGCGTACCTCCAGGCATGGGAACAGAGACCGTGCAATTGAATCGTGGGAATGTGGAGGTTTCCGTACCTCCCTGATGAGCTGACAATTGCTGCTTATGTTTGACTTGAGCCTTTCTTGCTTTTTCTTTAAAACAGCCTCGACCCCTTGAAGTCTCTCCCACGGAACAGAAATGGGATTGATGTGGAGTCAGATGTCTACAAGATGCTCCAGGATTATGAGAAGCCCGTTTCAGAGCCGAAGCAATCTGGATCCTTCCGATACTTGCAGGGCATGTTGGAGGCTGGTGAGAACGGTAAGGAGGTTGGCACCATGGCGTGTCCCAGCGAGTCCCCTACGCGTCTCCACGCCCGGGGAGGAGCCATTGTTTGGTCCCTCTGCACCCACCACTTTGCTGTTGCAGTCTTAGCCTCCTTCTCCTTCACTGGATGAGATCCAGAAGCTGGAGAAGCCTCTAAAGGACTCTAAAAGCTGATGGTGTTTGCAAACTCTTCTCCTCTGTCATTTCACTGCACATCACCTCGGTGCCGAGGCGGCTCAGCTCGACACGGGAGGGTCCGGGCACCCTGGGCGGGGGGAGCGCCCGGGGAGGGGTGCAGGTTTCAGTTCAGGGTTTCAGACTGAGCATCTGGGGGCTCACCAAATTTTGTGGCCGATTTGAGCGTCGTGTGAAAGTTGGGTTTGCAAACAGCTTCTGCGCGGCAGCTGTTTTCCTGAGGCGGTTTATGAGACGTAATGGCCTCAAGCCGTTGTGTGAGGTCACCGGTGGGGAACTGTAGGCCCGTTTAAATAAATGACATTTGCATAAGGACGTGGGATGGTCCTCAGCAACTCAGGGATAGAGATCAGGAGCTCTTGGCTCACTCCTCAGCTCAGTCACGGCTTCCTGCCCGTGTCGGTAATGCGGGAAGGAGCCAGCTCGGAGCATTAAATAATAAGACCCCCAAACGAGACATTTCAGCTTCTTTTTATTTGCCTTTCAACCTTAAGTCCATCGGGGCTTTCATGTTCAAACTTTGAGGCTTCGCTTTACAATTAGGGCAAGACTCTTCATTCTTCTTCCTTCCCAGAGCCTCGTACTCCAATCATGTGAATCCAGGAACTTAGTTTTTATGGGAAAATACCAACTGCTGCAAATCTCATTACGCAGCTGCGAGAGGTAGCGAGTCGAGCTGTTGCACTTCAGTTTCTGTGTATATAAAATGATGGGGAAGGATATTCTTTGACTAGAAGGATATTGCTTCTTGCTTCCCAAGAAGCAGCGTGACCATGGGTAACTTCTGAGCGTCAAGAGTTTCTACCGGTTTTCGTTTTCTCAGTGGTACTTGGGCACGTCCGCAAAGCACAGGGTGGGACTGGCCTTGGCAGTCCTGGGTGTAAATTTTACAGCCCCTTTGAGGCTGGCAGGAAAACTGATGTTAACTACAAGTTCCAGGTGTACCTTCGGGTCCCTCACCAAGAGCAAGCACAAGCAGTTCCCCGGTGAGGTGCCTGCTGCCCCCCCAGGTCTCCTTGTTAGGAGGAAGCAGCTAGGAAGGGACTGGGTTAATCCCAGTTAATAACGCTGCTGCCTTCCTGCCTTCTCCGTGGCAGGGAAAGGGAGAAAAACTGAAGCTTTTCTGGTTTGCTGCTGCCTGCCCTTGCATCCCACGGCCCTGGGGTGGCACAAACCCAGCGCTGCCCTTACGGAGGAAGGGAGAAAGAAAAGGAGGGGGGAAGGGGAAGACAAGGGGGTGCCAGGACAGTCCTGGATGTCTGCTCACACCAGCAGTGTCTCGGCGCAAGCCTGGCGCTGGTGCAGCACGGCGGGTTTGGAGCCTGGGGCTGAGGTGATGCTGAGGGGTACCAGGCAGTGTGGTGGCAGGCTGGAGGCATCACCTCCCGGGGCTCTGCCACCTCCTGGGGCTCTGCCACCCACTCTTTCCCTCTCGGCTGTGCTGTGCAGGCAGAGGGATGTGGGACTGGCTGCAGGCACAGGTCGTTAGGATGCTATCAGTGTTTATTTCACAAGGGATGAGAAATTAAGTGAAAAGCATCTCTCCTGGCATAACGCTCTGTGATGCCTTGGCATGGCTTAAATCCCTGGGAGTGTTGTTTTACAGCTTTCACCCCTGCTCCTTTTTCCTTAAGCCTAAAATTACACATCTTGGCCCCTGAGCCTGCTGTGCATTGTCCTTTTAAAGTCAAGATCTCCTCTCCTGAGGAGCTGCATGTCTCAGACCACGACCTGCTTCATATGGAAGGTGTTTCTACTGGAAGCTGTGTTCTCTCCAGCGTCGCCAGCCCCATCCCACACCCTTAAGGAGCAAAGCTTTGCGCTGAGGATCTGGCAGAGGCTGGAGGAATCACCGCGGTTGCCTCCGTAGGTGCGGGAAGGATGAGCCCTGCGGCCACACGTGGGGACGGTGATGGCTAAAGTTGAGGAGCTAAGGCATCCCGCTGCCTTGCTGAGGATCGTAAATTACAGTGAGGCTGCGGGCTGGTAGATAGAAGGGAATGATCCATCGTTTGGGAAGATGGGAAGCAACCCTCTCTGCAGGGCTTGTTTTGCTGTGAAATCTCGTCTCCCCCCTCCCCGCCGCCTCTAAGCAGCTTATCCAAGCGCTTTGTCTGAGAGACTGTGACAGCTTAACTGTTAAACGCTGGCAGAGGAGCGCGTCTAGTCCAAGCCGCCATATCTCACGCTGAGGGAAGCCAACAGCTCGAGCAGTTGTTTTGGTTTATTCCCAGCAAGGCAGCGGAAGGACTCGACGGGTGAACTTGGCTGGAGCCAGCCAAGCGCTCGGAGGAGCCCTGGGGTGGGGCAGCCCCAGTCTGCTCCTGGGCAGGTGATCTCGGACATATTGAAGCTCTCAGCATCTCCAAACACCGTGTTATACCTTGGGAAAGTGAGGTTTGGTGGGAAATTAGTCCCAAGTTGACTTGGCTAGAACCCTTGGCAGGGTCGGTCTCTGGATCAGAGCTCTGCTGTCCCAGGGTGACCCCGGGGTGTTGGGCCCGGGTGTGCTCCCTCCTCCCCGGCCCAACCAGTGGGTGCTCCCGAGACGTGCCCGAGGGGCAGCGGGAGTCTCTCCATAGAAGGAAGCTCTGCTGAGCAACACACTTCAAAACGTAACGTGTGAACCCACACAGGTCAGTGAGCGACCGCTGGCTGTGACACACCGGTCCTGGGTACTAACAATCCGCTTTAGGAAAGTTCCTGGAGCGTGTGGGGAATCCTCAGAGCAAGATCCATGTGGAAGTTTCCAAAACGGGCGCAGTGTGTACAGGCACCTGGGTCAGAACGTGCCTGGGCCCCTGCTGAGTCCTCCCGGGCAACACGGCGCAGAGGAACCACAGATCAATATGTACCCAAAAGACCAGACAATTGCGAGCCATGAAAAACCACACGGTGAACGCTGGGGGCTTTGAAGTGTCCCAGTGGTTGGCCAGAAGCGTGTCTGTATTGTCCAAAGTACAAGGGCAGATGATGGATGATCTACAGGGGGGTTGGCTGCAACACTGAAAGCTTTGCCGTGATACTGCTCATATGCCCAGAATTTTCATTTCTTCCTTTCCTGTCTTTGGACCTTTAGGAAAGGAGGCTTGGTGCCCCAGAAGAGCTTATCTTCAATCACAGTGTTTTACTTTAGATTATTTGAGATTAAATGAGTGTTCTAAGAAGAAAAGTGCATGTAATTCTATTATTGTTTGTTTTAATTTGCCAGATTCTCCAAAAGGCTTTCATCTCCGTCTCCTTGACTAATAGTGGATCTACCAAGTGCCCTGAAATGTTGGTGTGATACAACCTCTTCTTTCTGGGGCTTTTCTGAGAAATTAATTATCTGTCTTAACTCACTAAACGGTATTTCAGCCAAATTCACCTCTCGCCTCTAGATTCAGGGTGTTTTGCCTTTTGACGGGGTGTATGTACTGAGTTGGTGCTGTCACAGCACAGGGATAGATCATCTGCTGATGCGGCCAAGGGCTTCTGCCACCGGCCGGGCTTCGTTCGGGTGAGCAGAGGGTCAGCGCAGCGTCCTGCCACCATCTGGGAACCTGGATGCTGTGTGATTTTTGAGATAGTTGGTCTCACTGTTGGCTTTTTACTTCCTTACAAGCAAGTTGCAGGTTCTGTTGTGACACGCAGAGACTCATCTGATTTCTTAAGGAAAAAAAAAAAAAAAGATGAAAAACTTAAAAAATAAAAAGCCCCGAAAGGACAAGTTCTCAATCTGTGTCTGTTTAAAATTCTTGGCAGGTGAAAAGCTCGACAAACTGAGCCTGTCTCTTATA